TATAAACTGCAGCAGAAAGAGTAATTTGTATCATCTGTTCATGTTCCCTAATTCCTTTGCTTAATCCTGCCTCTCTCTTTCTTTTTAAGTGAACTAGACAAAATGTTATATAATTTTATGTTTCTTAGCCTATAAAACCTCCTCATAAAGTCAATTCTAACCCTGATGGTTGCTTTCCATTAGCTTACATTATAGGCATTACGTCATTTTCTTCCTTTACATTACAGTGTCCCTAAATGTTTAGTCTGTCAACAGACTACTATATTGTGCACTTTTTAGGACCTGTAGGGTGTCTGGAACACCATGTTCTGTTTATTATGTATAAATGTGTTGCTTTCACAAAATCCATTTGCTTTTCTCAGGATGTAACTTTTAATTTAACTCAGAAAACATCACCTACAGTGAGGAAGACAAGTACTTTTACTTTTGAGCTGCAAATCAAAGAAAAAAGCAATGTGTATCTTCTGTTTATGCTCTTTAATTCTTTTAGTTAAGACGGTTTCTCTTTTTCTTGGTGAACTGTACAAATAAGTTACGTAATTTCATGCTTCCTAGAAAGCTCCCAACAAAATATTCATAGTCAAACACTGAATTTTTTAAGTCTGGATCTTCTCAACTGTGAAATGAGAATAAATACATCATGTAGAGTTGTGATGAGATGTTTAAAAGGGTGTGTCTAAAGCACTAGGCACAGTACCTAGCCCACGGAAAATGTTATGTTATTATTGGTTATCCACACATCTGTGCTACTTGAAATAAGACTTTAAAAGTAAGTAAAGCTAAGTTTTTATTCACATATATCTATATTTACACAGTAAAGGTTTTCTTTAAACAGCTGAAAATGAAATCTTTTTTAAAAAAAATCAACCTATATTCAGTAGATGTAAAATACTCTAATAAATAATTACATTGGCAGAAACTTCTATTTTTTCTATTATTTCCATTAATGAAAATAATGCCATATAAAATTAATAAAACAAATGAATCTTTTCAGAATCAGACTGGTAGACCACATCTGCTAATCTCAAATGACTAAATTTCATATTGATTATCTCTTTTATTCTTTCCTTATTATGCATCTTTCTCCACTCCCCCAAAAAAGGTCTCTCTAGGACCATAAATCAGCATCATATCACTCTACTGATATCCCATTTTTACTTCTCATCCAAGAATGCCATCAGTGGATCAGGCCAATATGTCATTTGTCTTTCAGGCAGATGCTTACTGTCTTAGAATATTATGTTCAATCGATGCTCATTTTTAAATCATTGTTTATTATTTTGTGGAAAAGAATTCAAACTTAATCAATAAAGACCACAGGAAAAAATGTTATTTCTTTTTCAAAGGATACCCTATGATTAAGTCGTTGAACATGAATACATTATAACAACGATATTTAAAAGTGTCTCCAATCCAGGAAACTTAAGTTGGAGGTCAAAATATTTCCTTCCTGGAGTCTTATTTAAACTTAACCTTGAGATGAGTGACCTGATAGCATTATCATTCACTGTACACTTTGGATAAAATTTACAAAGTGAACTGCAGAAATACTATGGATTAGCTCAATTCTAATCCTGACTTGGTTTCTGCCATTTTTAATCTTAAATTCCTTCATCTCTAAGACAGTGAAAATAGCAACCCATTTTAAAAACCATTGTTCAGTTAATATATTACTGTAAGGATGAAATGCAAATGCGATACAACAACAAAATAAATCAAAATAACACTGGTGAAATTTTATACTACACAAGGCCAGAAAGAACTTCCTCATCATTGTGTCTAATGCTCTTTAAGGTGAAGATAAGCTAAAGGGTGAGCTCTAAAAGCTGCTTATCCTACTCTTGTGAATGTGCTAACAATCTCAGTAATGAGTTTCTTACAGAATATTTATTGTTCATATCTTTAAATTCTCTAAAAGTAAATCATTCACAGAAGATTAGTAAGTACGCAAACTACTGTTCCCCGTGGATTTAATAAACAACCAACCAAGACACTCAAAACCAGCAGAACCATACAGATGCTCAAGCCAGAAATCTGCAAGGCATCTCTCACTTCCCACATCTAATTCATAGGAAGTTCTGTTCATTTCGCCTCAGTAACTGTATCTCTAATATAGCCACTATGCCCCTCTGTCCCAGGTAGCTGGCCTAATCCAAGCCACCTTCACATATCACAAGGACCAGTGCTGTACCTTCCTAATTCTTCCACTCCAAGCCACTCGCCACACAATTACCAAAATGATCGTCATAAAATGTAAATGGGATAAGCCACCACTCTGCTCAACGGCTTTCCACTGTCCTAAGAAAGAACACCTCTTGCGTGCTCTGTCACTGACCATCTCTCTAACTTCTTTTCAAGTCACACCCCACTCCTGCCCACTGCATTCCAACCACACATGCCTCCTCCAGTTCCAACCAGCTCTTTGATCTTAGGGCTATCTGCTACTTCCTCTGCCTGGACCACTCATTCCTGACTCCTCAAATGGCTGCTTCCTCCTACGCCTTTGGTTTTCAGTTCCTCCAAGAGGTTTTCCTTGACCTCCCAATGCACAGCAGGTAAGCCTGTCCCTTTATCCTGTTCTTCAAGGCACTTACTTGTTTCATGTCTGTTTCCCCCACTCTCGCCTGGACCCTCTGAGGGCAAGCTCTCTGTTTTGTTCACCTCTGATTTTCTCACTACTTACAACAGTGCCTGGCTCAGTCATTATTCATGCAGGAATGAGAATGTCATTATTACTATATGCTCACTTGGAGATACAAGATTGCTTTTTTTTTATATAAAATGAACTAAGGAATTATGGCCATGGCAAAAGAGAATAAAGTGGCTATGTGTGATTTTTGTCACAGTTTTATCACTTGAATGTAACCATTCACAGAAGCAAGGCAGAACTGAAGAAGGTGCTAACTATGAGTACCAATAAATCTTCACGATATCTGAATATGGTGATTTAAAAATGATTTGCACATAACATAGGTTTTATAATTTGAAATGGAGTTGCTTAAATGTTTAGCTGCCCACATTATATATTAAACTCTCTATAAAAGTCACTATTATTACCCCTATAAAGTCTTTCCAATATACTTAATTCTTCACTATTTTTACACAAAATCAGAATCACACAATTAAATACTCTCCTAGGATTGTTCTTTAACTGTTTTCCATAGTCTTTAGGCCATCCTGCATAGAATTTAATCTAGGACTGTCTTCTACCCTTTTGGTATCTTTTTTAGGACAAGACAGAATAAATGAGTCCTAAATAAATGGGTGTTTGTTGATAAAAGAAATGAATGAAATCTTTCAGCACTAAATAAAGGCTTCCTTAGTACATATTCATTAGTATACATTTTCTTTATATTCATTTATTCAGTTAACCTTCTATATTATGGATTAACTTTAATTACCTTAAAAGCTTATTAAAATCTTATCTTCTATAACTCAGTTATATAATTTTAGCAAATACATTTGATGCTTTGTATAAATATGCTGTATATATGAGTGTATATATGAAATTAAGATTTTTCAGGAGTTATTACTTGACTTTATTATGAACTCATTAATGAAAGGATTTTTTCAAAATAATTGGGAAACCTCTAAAGGCCACTATTCTCCACCCTTCATCTTTTAATTTTGCTTTAAGAAAGTGTGGATGCTCAGTAGGCTGTCCATGAACCAGATTTAGCCTGCTCAACACAGAGTGTATAGAGTGCTCGGTATTTTTAGCTTTAAATCAAATTCACTTACCTACAATAATTCCTTAGTTGAGACTTAACCACTTGTTCCCTTCTACTATCATTTAACTGGCACTTCCAGGTGTCATGCCAAGAAGCTTAGGTCAGTTACTATCACTGAAATTGAATGTGAAATTAAACCTGGATGGTGGAGACTTAATTCCATTGAAAATACAGCATGATTCTGGGAAAAATAGCTATGAAAAATGGATTCACTTTTGAATCACACGCAAAGCCAAAATAAACATTTTCTCAATTCACTATTGTAACCAGTAAAAAGAAATTCATAATGCCTGCATAGAAATGTGGGCATCTTGTAAAAATAACATGCTACATCCCTCACCTAAATCATAGCGGCCAGAACCATGATGTATATGTCTAAAAATGAAACTCAAGAACACACTAATAATTATAGTTTTTAAACACATATAAATTAATAAAAAATTATGAACAAGCTATAACCAACCAGAAAGCCAAAGCAAAGTATACAAAACTCACTCACTATCAGCAAACATAGTCCCCATTAGTATGTAACCTCCCTGACCCTAAATGGTAGGTAAGCTCCCTGAGGACACATAAGCTGTTGTCTGCTTTGCTCATTCAAGTTCTTACAAATAAGAACAACACTCTGCACACAGCCACAGATAAATAACAAATGCTATGTATCAAATATTTAATATTATATATTAATAACAATAAATATTAAATACCAGAGAAAAGAATGTTCTAATAAATCAAAGATTTTTGTTTAAAGCAGGAAAACTAATTCCAAAGGAATTTAGGAATCAATAAATAAATATAAAACTAAAACTGTGATGGCAATTCAATCTTTATTTGGTGATTCTTTAGAAGTCACTAGAGGGTGACTATTAGGAATATTAATTAAATTTAATTATTGGTGTTGCAGAAATACTATTAAAATAAATTTACATCAACAGAATACAAAATAAGATAGCTATGATTTCATAAAACTAAGGAAGATGATTTTTTTTTTTGAGCTACTGAAAAGCTACCTTTATTAAATAAAATGTCTTGGGGCACCTGGGTGGTGAGTCGATGAAGTGTCCAACTCTTGGTTTAGGCTCAGGTCGTGATCTCAAGGTCATCTCATGGAGCCCCCCGTCAGGCTCCACACTTGGCAAGGAGTCTGCTTGAGACTCTCTCTCCCTCTCCCTCTGCCCCTCCTCCCTCCCCCTGTGCATGCACACTCTCTAAAACAAACAAATCTTTTTTAAAAACAAAATGTCTCTACTGAGAAAATGACTAAAGAAACATTTACAACTTAACATCTGGATTTTTCCCATTTTCAGCCAATTTTCCTAAATATTTTCATTATAACTCAAAATGTGTATTATAATACTTCCTCCACTCCACAATTAGGTACAAAAGATCACCCATCCAAAATTCTGACATCTCCTCCTGATAATGACAATGTGCTACTGGAAAAATGGTAAATTCAAATCTTATTTCACACCAACTTACTCTAACTTTCGGCAAGACTCTCCGAAGTGTCTCAGCAGGATTCTGTCGCATCAAAAATGGAAGATTTGCAATCACACTTGTTCCTTGGATATCTTGGCCAGCACTTACAAAGAAAAGACAAATTTAAAATTTGTAATTACAAGCCGAGTGCCTAGTTTACAACTATAAAAAGCAGGGAATTTTAATGATAAATGCTCACAGACATCTGACAAAGTTTTAAACTTTAAACACATCACTTAGGTATAAAAATAAAACCAGACCTGAAATTCCATTAAGGAAATCTTCTAACAAATGCACAAAGATATGAATCATGCTTCTGCTAAAACAAGATTCTCTACATACATGTCTTAAGTCTAAAAGTCTTGAGGCGATTTTTAAGTACTTCCTATAAAACTCTACCTCATTTTTTCCTATGACCTGCCAGTTTACTGTACTTTATAAAAAAATATATAGATGTTGCAAAATTTCACTATGGTAAAATATTAATAACCATAACAACAGCAGGGACAGCAACAAAATCGACTTACCACAGACCCATACAACTTTCTTCTGGTACAATGAAACCACTGTTGCACTAGCTGGACTCTAAAAGTTGCCAGAAATTTCTTAAAGATATACTCAGGTATATTTACATGGTACCTTTTTGATATAACATTCATTAGGTCAGTAAAGCTTTCCCAAAATAATCTCAGTGACACTCTAGGGGCCTAACCGCCTTGGAAAATGTGTTCAGATTCTTCTGAAAAACTACTTCCATACAGAAAAGTCTTTGTTTGAAAGCATTAGCTAAGCGACATGTGCACATACTTGAAACATATTATTAAAAAGATGCTAGTCAATGTGGCACCACCTCAGATGGAAATTCTACTTTTTCTTAACTGATAACAATTTAAATGTTAATTGCCGACACCATAATATTTATTTTAATTAAAATTATTTTTACTTAGCACTTCAAATAGAACTTTTGTGATTATCTGTACATAAGACCTTAACATGGTTTTTTAAAGAATTTCTTAAGGTATTACATTTATTGGCTTCAGAGTTTAATAAGTTCTGTTAACAAGAATCATATCCTGATTCTAAATGGAGTTGCCCCATTGTGAAGAAAGGCTTTTCCCCTGTTGCAATATGGCAGTGAAATACAGGTCAGTACAATCATTTCACATCCTTGACGCTCTCAAAGTGAATACTCGAAAAGACAACGTGCTTTCCTTCCAAAATAGAAATGAGAAGAGAGTGAAAGAAGGGACCCATGCCAAGATGGGAAGAAAATCAAAAAAGGGAAATTAGAGTTGCATATACTATAGGTGACCCTTGAACAACATGGGGTTAGGGGTGCCATCCCCCCACACAGTCAAAAATCTGCATGTAACTTTCAACTCCCCCAGAACCTAACTACTGTTGATCGGAAGCCTAACTGATAACATAAATAGTTGACTGATACATATTTTGTATATATATCATATACTGTAATCTTACAAATAAAGTAAGCTAGAGAAAATAAAATGTTATGAATAAATTCATAAGAGAAAAATACATGTACAGTACTGTAATGTATTTACTGAAAAAATATGCATATAAGCCGACCTGTGCAGTTCAAACCCATGTTGTTTAAGGATCAACTGTACTTCTCGTGGGTCAAATGGTGGCCCTCCATAAGATATGTCTGCATCCTAATCCTGGAACCTGGGAATGTTATCTTAATTTGACAAAGGATCTTGAGACCAAGAAATCATCCTGGATTATCCAAGTAGGCTATAAGTCCAATAACAAGTGTCTTTAAAAGAAACACTCAGAAAAGACAAACCAAACAGAAGAAGGGAATCTGATCACAGAGCAGAGATGGGAACAATGCTGCCACTAGCCAGGGAATGCCAACCGCCACCAGAAGCTGGAAGAGGCAAAGAACAGATTCCCCTAGAGTCCTGCTGACACCTTCATTTCCACTTGGTGATACTGATTTCAGAACCAGTAAAAGAATAAATTCCAAAACAGTGAGAGAATAAATTTTTGTTGTTTTCGGCCATCCAGGTAGTGGTAATTTCCCATGGCAGCCACAAGAAACACACCACTAAAGAACTGGGAGAGAGGAGAAATACCTGAGAAAGTAATGTTTCATAAGACAATTCCTGGCCCAAAGCAGAGGTTCAGTGTCTCCTGGAAGGATGGATGAATGGATAACTCATTAGATGACCTGATGCCAGGAATATTTAATATTGAACAGAACACTGGTGAATTTTATTCACTAATTTTGCAATTAGGCAAAAAACAATATGGTATCAGGCATCTAATAGATGTGGAATGCCTGGGTGGCTCAGTCAGTTAAGCGGCTGCCTTCGGCTCAGGTCATGATCCCAGGCTCCTGGAATCCAGTCCCATGTTGGGCTCCCTACTCAGCAGGGAGTCTGCTTCTCCCTCTGCCTGCCACTCCTGCTTGTGCTCTCTCTGACAAATAAGTAAATAAAGATCTTAAAAAAAAAAAAAAATCTAATAGATGTGAAGACCAAACATTGCACTGAGGAAACATAAAAACAAACAGAAAACAGGGGCGCCTGGGTAGCTCAGTCATTAAGCGTCTGCCTTCCACTCAGGTCATGATCCCAGGGGCCTGGAATCGAACCCTGCATTGGGCTTCCTGCTCAGTGGGAAGCCTGCTTCTTCCTCTCCCACTCCCC